TGTTCAGCCGCTCATATCTGATCTCAGTCATGGCTGAGATAAACAATAAGCAGTAGATGCATAGAGGTGAGTATTGAGGGTGTCATTCAACCCATATGAGAAAATAACTCCCTGTTACTTCTGCCTGAGATTGAGTTTCTTCATTACAACTGGATTTATTTGTCTGTGAGATTTTTGAGAAGAAGAAAGGCACAGTCACATTTCTACTGAGATAAGATTATGCCACTTGTACGTCTGCTGGCCTCTCTCATGCCCATGTGCAGTGGTGCCGAAGGGGCAAATACAGAAATGATGTGAAATTTGTAGGTCAAACAACAATTCAATAAATCCATCAGTGAACTGTTATTAAATTAGTGGCAACAAATCATCAATTTTGTCATTTACGTCAAATTGAAACAAAAATACCAAACATTTGTTCATGGCTGGTTTTCTGACTTTTATGATTATGTGATATCTGGGATTGTTGGTCGGACTTAATAGATTGAATACATCATAGTCAGACTTGTCTAGTCTTGATGATAACTCAAACCTCAGTTTTACCATTCACACACACATCCATGCAGTGCATCTATGAGCAGCACTTTCTCCATCACATGTAACTCACACTGACACAACTGTCAGGGTTCAGTATCTTGCCCAAAGAAAAATTGGCAATTAAAAAAAGAATGAAGCCTAGAACCAGGTATGGACGGTATGGGTATGGGCCTCTGACACAGGAGTCGTTCCCTGGACCTCAAGATGCTCTGCCTATGTACAAGTATGAATGACACTTCTGCACACAGGTTTTGTGCCACCTCTGTACCACTGCACATATGAGAAATGTGATTGTCTCAATCTATGTCACTTGAGTCAGTGTGCATAAGTTTGAAAGGTAAAAACAAAGGCTGGAGTGACATGGACATCTATTCTATGAGAATAGTCTGACAGTGATCATAGAGCACAATCCTTATTCTGTGGAACATTGTTTAAAATGATAAAAGTCATCCTCGCACATTTTATTGTCACTTTTATAACAGAGCTCTGTGCGGATGTCACAGCTTCCTTTGTGAACTTCATGGGTCTTTGCACTCTTTTGTTTTTCCTGTAGACTACATCTTGAACACTTAAATGCATTTTCCTATTAAATGTGGTAATTCTTGGGTATTTAGTCATTATTACATTTCATTTCAGTCAATCTGCTTTTATTCTGAAACCCTGTGCAGGCTACCTATATTTACGTATGTCTACATGTCTATGTATGTGTGTGTATGTACTTTATTATCATTAAGTATGAAAATATCAACTTGTGCTTAGAGAAGCCATGTTTACTGAGAGTAAAAACAGAGAGCCACAGGAAAAATAGAATATAAGTACAACTGCATAAGATTATCAAATGACTTTGGGAATGAGAATTACTACAGGGTGTATTTAATTCATTTTTGATTCATTGCTCATGTCACAACATACATTATCTCAAGGCATTTTACGTAGAACTTTATTCAATTATAGAGAGTATCTAGAGAAGTTTATGAATTTATAGCCTGGAAGAGGAGAAAAGCTCTAACAGAATAAACTTAAGTCTTCTGGGATATCTTTCCTCCTCTGCTTCATGGTGCACAATATATTTAGCACAAACAACACATTGTAGCTGAAATCATGCAGATGCACTGTATAAACAGAACTATCAATACAAACATATTCATTCTTCTGACCACATCCACCGGATGAGTTAACACCACTGCTCTACCTGAGCTTTCTCTTTAATGGCTGTTACTCATCGTCTAGATATCCGTGATGTGTAAATTGTACTGCGTGTGATCTCTAGATTCAAACATTTACTTTACTTCCACATTTCCACAGTTTGCCACCTACTGGATATGAGCTGATATAAACTACACCTATGTTGATTCCTGAAGATTCTCCTGATTAAGTCAGTGAGCGATCCTGCGTTTTCTATGCGACGGATCAGTGAGAGATTCAAATATCAGCATCGTGTACCGTTTAGTTTTGTGTCGAAAAGATGATTTGTTTCCTACAGCAGATGTTTGTCTGCTGTTTTGAGAAATGTCACGTCTTCCTGTATGAGGCTGCAGAGAGCTGTGACCATGTTTTATACATGTGTGGTTGGCAGAAAAGAGAGGGCAGGGGGTCCCACTGCGGCCCTGATATAAAACTATTTTATGGGTTTATTAAAAGTTAGTTGGTTTGCTTCCATATCCTACAAGTCCTGATTCTTCCGTGGTTTTCTTTCATGTTAGAAAACTAACAAAGAGCTACTCATTTTGGGCTGAAGCTTTCTATGGAAGTAAACAGCTGGAAACCACAGTTTATTGCAGTGGGAATAACTGTAAAATACAGTAGATCTCTATAATGCGAAGGGTTTCGTGAAGGATTTATCACATTTCCAGATTGTCTTTGTCGAAAACTCCATGATATTCTCCCCAAAAAAGTGACGGGAAAACCATGGGAGGGAAATATGATTAGTTCATTTTTTCCACTTCTTTGCCCTTATAAAACAAAGAAATTATTGTCAATTTATTATTATTATATAATCTCCCTCCGATTTAAACAGCATTATTTCTATCCTGCACTTTGGCTGCTTCTGCATTGTAACGGAACATTGGATTTTCATCTTTCACTGGTCCAGACAAAGCCTCATCTCAGATTTCCACCAGAAAAATGTGCTGCTCTCTTCCAGGTTCAGGTTGCAGGGTTTTTATGGGTTTGTGAGCCAAGTCAAAAACAAAGGCAGTAATGAGGTGCAACACATACACAAACCAATATGTGGCTCATAATGTGTAATAAATATAAAATAAAAATGAGATGAAATAGAAAGCAGCGATTCCAAGATCAGGAGGAATGTAATAATTACAAGGATGCTGCCATTAAAAAAAGAAATACAAGAAATACAATTCAAATGATTTTTCATGCAACAGTATATGAAAGCTCATTCTTGGCCTTAGAAATCTCAACTCAAGGTCCATTTTTTGTGGTGTTTGTAGCCAACATGCACCACATCCTGGACAGTTTACCAGTGCATCACAGGGGCTTTCATGGCCGCAGTCCACAAAGCTAAACTTGGGCAGAAATCTTTGGAAGACTTTACAAAACAAAACACAAAGAAGGTGCTGTTCCTCCAGAGCAATTCAACTGTGACTGACAAATGTGTTGTCCAGCCCCAGTGCCACTATGAGTTCACCCTGAGCCAAAATGGTACATTGTCAGTTTGTTGGTCAGCAGCCACACACATATGACACAAGCATATACTTTCAGATATGCACTGAACTCCAGATAATGGCTGAACTTATGCAGAGAGGCTGGATGTGAGAATGCAAAGGTCTGGAGTCAGGTGCTGCGGACTTCCTCCAGATAATGTCCTCATGAGCTCATGTGAGAACACGGCAGGTTGATGATGTTTCTAACACGTTACGGAAGCAAAACTGAAATAAAAAGCCAAAAAGATTTCATCTTTGGAAAAAATGAAGAGGAGTCATTTACTTTGAAGACGAAAAAGTAAACCTGTACAAGCTTCGAGAGATTTTGGCGAAAGGGCTGATGCTGTACACAAATACATGTGATCTCCAAAGCAGAATATACACATTACATCCTGTCACCGCCTGCTGCACCAGCCCCTCACCTGAAGGCTCCAGAGATTTGTGCTGTAGTGAACGGTCCGAGGGGAGAATCTCCTGCTGCGTTGTACATGTGTAAAAGACCGAATCTGGAGAGAGTGTGGACCCAATTGCGTTCATGTTCTCACAAGAGACAGGAGACTGGCTCAAACTGAAATGCACCTGTTGGGGCTTTCTTTGGCTTCCATACAGCAAAAGAGATTCACTGGCAAGTTAAAGCAGTCCACCCCTCTCTACCCACAAAATACAGAAGAAGTAGACATATGGCAAAATACTAAATACATGTGATTTGTAGCAGCTATTTAAACCATGCATATGTAAGGTTCCCCTGTGGAAAATGTTATTATTTATATGACATACTGTACCATTAACCATCAACAAGGACACAGAACTAATGTTCTTGGTTACATATTACTACACCAAATGTGAAATGGAGCCGCAGCCTCTCGGGGCCGTGAAGGTTCGGGGACCCCTCAGGCATTTTTTTTCCCATAAAGCAGCCTCGTGTCGAGTCAGTAGCTTATTCAAAAACTGCAGAGAGACCTAGATAATTTATAACAGAGGACAAGTTTCAGGCAAAAACACCTCATCACTGACGGAGTGAGAGAAAAGTGAGCTGCAAACACATTCTTCTCATTTATTTTTAAGGTGAAAGAAGCGTTCTGATGTTCTTCATGGAATTTAAAGGTTTCTGGGAAATGTGGTGATAATTCAAAAGAAGTCTAACACCATGAGAAGCATTGCCACTGACCTGAGATTAATAACAGCCCAAATCATTTTTTCTTTTATTCCACAATCAGTGTTGGAAGCAATCAGAGGAGTCTGACTCTCACCAGTTATTTTTCATGAGCGTGTGTTATATTTGGTAAGGAGTTCATATGTACATTATATCATAGCTTTGTTTGAAGAATGTACATGTAATGCAATAAAGGAAGAGCAGAGTGATGCATTGAGGGGGCGAGCCATCCTTTAGCTGAAACTTTCCTCTGACAGACATCAGTTTGTGGATCCAACAACTTCAGCTCAGGTTCAGGCGGCTAAAGGATGGCTCGCCTCCTCAATGCATCACTCTGCTCTTCCTGTGAGAATGTAGCCTCATGTGGTCAGGGTTCACCTCCGCTGTGAGAAATAGTGCCGCTCTGGTGGAATCAGGAGAGCTTTCGTGCAATATAACTCTTAGAGACAACACAAAATACTGCCCTTGAAAACAAACCAAGTTGAAACGAAGCCCTGGAGTTCGCTCAGCTCTCGTTTTTTCATGTTTTTTTATGTATTTAAATCATTACGAGCACCAAGAACTTTGTTTCTTGTGGCTCCTCTGTCAAATGTGTTAGTGAAATGTAAAATGTGCATTAACACTCAACACCAAAAGAACACCAGGGGCCGGCACAGTGTAAAATATGTAAACGGTTTATTCATGAACATACAACTGGATTAATAAAACATTTAAATTTCAACTGAAAAAAAGAACCTAGAACAGTTCAATTAACTGAACTCCGGATGAATAAAGTACGAGCGGACACTTTACTTACATAAATGTAATTCAGTGTTCATCCTTTAGCTATGGCATTAAAAAAAAACTATCCTTGCACATGTAGTTACATCATAATTAAAATGAGTTCCTGTCCACCATGTTCACCAGACGTCAACTAAACATTTCCAGCCGTAAGTATGACAGAATATTCAACCTTGAGGTTTCACAGATAAAATGAGCTTGTCCTGCTCAAGTTACAGACACGCGAGAATCATAACCTGGAATTCTGCTGCTTGTTAGCAACAAGAGAAAAAAGTCCAGAGCCTCCTGACATTTCTTCACTGTTGAGACCTGGTCACACCCGAGAGTCTTGAGGAGAACCTCCTCTGTCCTGTCGTTTCGCTCTAAAAGTTTGGGAACGCCATGACTATACTTGTGGGGTTGGTTGGTGAACTGATGTTTAACACTACACCATTTTTACCTCTTTTTTTAATAAAGGAGTCACTCAAGATGAAAAATAAATCACTTTATATTTGTACCATTGACTTTCTATCTCATAACTGTCTGCAAATCATTTCTTTTTGGTGAGGAGTAGTTATTTCTCCAAAAGTCATTTCCTTCAAAGTCTGTCGCTGTTGAGACCACTTGCGATTGTGCAACAGCACAAATTTGCGCATAAACTGTTTTAACCAATGTTGAACATAATGCGAAACATTTGTGCTTATTTGTTACGAATCCCATTGATGCCACTGGAATACATTTTAAATTGCTGTAAAATCCTGATGTGACCAGGCCTTCAGATTTACACAAAGGCAACATTCAAAGCCATTACAGGCACTGTCAACTAACAAGAGCACTTTTAATATAGTCAAAGGCAATATCAATAATATATGAATACAGTAGTCACCAAACATTATGCATGGCACAGTTTAAATAAAAAATAACCATGAGTCGGGAAGAAGTATTAACAATGGTTCATGCAAAATGCAGAGCAAGCACATGGTTTGGCTTTTGAGCAACAGGAGAATCAAGACGGAGATAAGAAAGATGTACATGGATACTCAAATTTGTGTTTGTTTGGCTTGAATGTTTGGAGCCTGACAAAGTTTAGTCGTCAGTTAAATTCAAGGTCAAAGCCTATAAAGGACACATGCAGGAAAAGGTGATTTCACTGTAAAGCACCCTTGGAAAAAGATACACCAATAAGCATGAACACAAATAGACTGTGACATGCTGCACATGCACATAACCAGAGTTCACCATTTCTTGTGTAATAGATTTCCTCAGATCTGCCAAGACAATCACCTAAAGCATGGGAGTAGGGGAGTCGTATAAACCTTCATTAAAATAAGTTACCCTGTGTGTTGGCTTCATTATTCAAAAATAAAAAGATGTCCAACAAAGAAAGAAATATTTAAAAGATAATATTTCAACATGTACTAATAGTTTTAGTCCAAAATGAACAAAGGATAATTACTCATGGCTTCAAGGACGCCTTAGTGAGTCAGTCTATCAGTATTTCACATATTTTACCTTTGTCCAACTAAATAAAACTTTAACTCTAAACTATTAAATAGAGACAGAGATATCTCAAATAATGATGAAATAATATATGAATAACTGGCAGTTCTAAAAAAGTAATTTTAAACTTGGTCATAAAGCATACTCTGAAAGGGACATGCACATGAGAGCTTGAGGGTAGGGACAGATTGTAGTGACGCAGTATTCAGGGTACAGGACTGGGTGGTCCTCCGGGAGGTGGACACTGGTGCTGGGCTCCTCCGCTCAGTCATACAGCAGCTAAAAACACAAAGATTAATTATTAACATGACAATGAGTGGGAAACACTACACACACCGCACATAAGCTCTCGCCCAAGGGCCCACTGGGTGCACGTTAGCATCGGTACATCTGCTAGCATTGCTACTTCCGGTAGCAGACTTTTAGGCTAAAAACATGTAGAAAATAACCCAGTTATGAGTCGAATGTGAATTTTGGGCCTTACGGACATTTGGACGCCACAGGAGCAGTACGGAGGCCCATTTTTTTGCTGTGTTTTATTTTACATTAAAAGAATTGGTTAGCAGTGACTTCAATTGTATTGGATTTGGCTGCAACGCTGTTTATACCTGAAACTCCAGAAGTGTTTTGTGGACTCAAACACTTCACCCACCCCTCTATCGGCATAGTGGTGAGAGGATAATGAGTGAATTTTCATTTTCTTCCCCTCCAGTGCAAGTTCTAAAAGCCTTTGAAGGCTTTAATATGAATTTTTCAACCGACACCTTAACTCTTTTACATTGACGCTTCACAACCTATCAGGATTTCCACTGACACTTATGTGCTTAAGCTGCAACTGTAATTTTCATCCAGTGTATCTTTTTTCTAGTCACACTTTAGTTGCTTTAATGTAAAAATCTCTGCTGTGACAAAGCTTATTTTGATTTGCATGTATGAATAAATAAAATTAGGCAAGCATGCATCTAAATCATCTTTCATGTCTCTAAATCTTCCGCTGACAGTTTGACTAAAGTGCGCTTGTTTTTCTCGCCTTCACTTCCTATCAAACTTAATCTTATTTTAGAGCTTAACCTTCATCTGACACGTCAACTAACTCCTTTCAAAGCTTAAGAGCTTACGCTTCCTCAATCGATGGTTCAGACATTTCATTTAACGGTTTCAAATTTGGATAAGATTTGTGTGCTCACATATTTGTGATATTAGCTGAGACTTCAGGTCACATTATGAGACGTGGTTCCTAATATAGATGTAAGATCACTTTAAGATTTAGTCAATACAGTTCTGTTACATTATAATCAAATATTCAAATCAAACCATCATCGACAGAACAGATGTGCTTCGATTCAACAATCATAAAATACAGAGAACATTTGATTTTAGTCTCATAAAAGAAAAAGCAAGTGTAGTTCTGTCAAGTACTATATTTATAGAGAACAAGTTATTACAGTTTAGTGTGTTGAGCAATGTGCTAAGCATAATCCAATGTGTTAAAACAGGCAATTCCGATGAACAATATCTGGTTGCTCAGCCTGTCAAAATATTCTTGACTGGTGAGAAGAAAATCCACTTCAGACAATGACAAGAACAGCAAACCAATGTTGACCTTGTCCAAAATTCCACACTGACACTAAATATTGTGCAGCCAAGGTTTGCAGGCATAATGTGACCGGTCACCGAGTTTGTACAGAGGGCCTAACGACACCTTATCAGGAGCAGAATGTCTTTTGGACGAGATGCTGGGACACCGACTTGGCGCCATCTGCCTCTAAAATGAATGCTCAGCAGTCAGAGGTTGTATGGGCCAAGTCTGGCATTGCTACGGTGCAGTCACCTCACTGTAGGCTGATCCATCACACAATTCAACACACAATTCAACACCTGGGAGGCTTCCAGCCAAACACAAACAAACCAGCCTTGAGCCACAATGGGGAGGGTCAGGAGAGAGGATGGGAAAGGACGGTTTGATAAACATGTGATTAAGGCTCGGACTGACAAATAACTGGAGGTAAGGGGAGAGAAATAAAACTAACCCAAACTAGAATTACTGACTAGCAACTGTAGAGTAATTCAACATCCATGCCCTCTCATGTAAGGCTTCGAAGGAAGGCTTCAAGTATGGATGTTGCTCCAAATTCTTTTTAAAAAATCTACTGTTTCGGTAGAATGTGGAGACCAAAACAGTGTGAATACTTAAATAAATCTTCTCTATAGGGAATTTCAAAGGTGATGTCATTTGTTGATATTTCTGCTTGTCTTACTGCCCTTAAAGGTCCAGTGTGTAAGACTGAGGTGAAAGGGAACTACTGGCAGAAATTTAATGTAGAATAATCCTCATGATGTTTTCACTAGTTCGTTTAATCTAAATTGTATGAGTTGTAGTTTTCTTTACCCCAGAAAAGGCCCTTTATATTTAAATACTTTATATTTACATCGAGGGGACCCTCTCTACAGAAGCCGACATGTTTTTTACATTAGTCCAGACTGGACAAACTAAACCTTTTGAGTTTTTATGACAACAGGTTCTTTTTCATGTTTGGAAGGAGAGGGTGAGGTGAGGGGTGTTCAGCTGCAACATGCAACTTCAACACTAGATATCACTAAATTCTACACACTGTACCTTTAAGTTAAAAAACAACAGCAAACAAAGACTATCAAATAAACAAAAAAAATAATGCTGCTAGTTTGGTCAAATGTAACAAGTAACAGTAGTAGTTAACAGCTTACATTTTAATATAGAGCAGTTATGGATCAAAATTCTTATTCATTTAGAATCGTGTTTCTTCTTCAACACCTGAGGAAAGAAGCTGATAAATGCTGCACTCTGTTCGCCAGCTACCTGCTGAATGCCATTTGGTTCTGGCCAATGCAACTTTTAATAAAAGGCTGATAAAGGTCTGATACACTGATACATCAGTCTAAGCCTGGGGGAGACAGAAGAGAAGAGACTGTGGCAGGATTAGGAGGCTTTAATGCTGGGTAGGATGATATAATGTATGTGTGCTCAGTCTGCTTGCTGGCTGTGGTTTACCCTGTCTTTGACCATGGCAGAGCTCCAGTGCACGCTTCTCTCAACAGCTACTTATAAAAGACCTGGGTTTACATTCCTCAACAGGTCCTGTATATGTATTGGAGCTCTCAGTAGAATTTTCAAATGAGGAGATTACTCCCTGTCCCCACATCTCTGTGGTGGTAGGGCAATGGTTTATCCATTCACAGGGAGCTATGGAGTCCAAAATGTTGCCAAACACAACATTCCCCATGCGTAAAATATTTATGGGGTATGTCTTACTCTGCCTGATGGTAATGTCGACGCTGCAGTGCAGACTGAGCTCGGTCCAGCGTTGATACAAAGTACTTTTCAGTATGATTTGGGCCCAGCCCATCTCAGGATGACACCATGAAATGAGCTTCCCTTGTCTTTTTTGTATGCACAAGAGAAAAAGAAGGGATTTACTGTACCAGAGATTGAAAGAATTTATGGGATAAGATGTGCTCTCCAGTCAAAACCCATGAGGCATCTGCCAGGGTGAAAGATCTGCAGATATATAACAGACATCTGTGGCTGATGATCATACTGTGATGTTGTCTCAGGCTGTTTTATTATTCAAACCAAACACAGTGTGTTGTGGGATGTTGCCTCTCATAAGTGACATAGAATGAAAACAGCTGAGTAACCGTCTTAGTTAAACTAATTTTTCAAGAGTAAATGAGGAGATAATATTTCTGGGGAAAAATAATTTTCCAGAAAATGGTTCGTTTCAGACCAAAGACACACCATCATATTTTAATCTTTTCTTGGAGACTTTCTGGATGACTTGGTCTCAATAGGCCCTTGTTTCCTCTGTAATACAATTGGAGGACATGAGGGAAGATGGGAAATTTGGGGCTTATGATAGAAATTTTGTATCAAGGTGACATCTCTATATGAGATAAGTATGGCTCTAACATTTTACCCAGTGAACATTGGTTGAATCACAGAGTATGAGCAAATGTAACCAACTGGACAGCCATATTATAACAGCCCTGTGTGTAAACAGGTTATAGTTACCTCTCTCTAAGTAAAGAGCCCC